AAAAAGCCAAAAATCTTTCATGAAAACCCTGAAATATGTATTTTTTTGCTTCCGACCTGATACTTGCTGAGTTGAAGTTCCTTTTCTTCCAAGGTCGACTTCGGAGCAAATTCTTTCAAGGATCCTTCTGACTCGTTTAACCAAGACAGAAGGCGCTCGAAGCTGTGCTCATACTCTTCCCACTGACGCAGCCGTTCATCCAACTCTTGTCGCACATCCACGAGATCACCTTCCAACTTTTCCAACTCGAACCTTTTGACATGATGAGACGGGAATTAGGTGCAACGCAAACTATTTTAAACTGGAGAATGAGGATCAAGAAAATCACATGACCATGACAAACGTGAGTCAAAATAGACCCATATTCCCAATGCCCACTTAATTACTTAACGTAGTCGTTTCCATTTCGCCAAATCCTAAATTTCAAACGCTAGAAAGCTCATTTTCTTTTTCAAAAAATTTAAATAAATACTGTAATAACATACCGTAAGATGCGGAAGAGTGAAAAACAATGTAAATATCAAGCAGAAAAATTCAGAGCGAACTCGGAATTGCTTTTGAATATCAATCCATTTTCGAAATGTGTATCCCTTGAAATCAACTTCCAGCAAAAATTCTTACTTGATGTTGGAAAACTCGCGTTCAACGGATTCTCGGGACCGAGGAGGAAGCTTCCTCAGAATTGTCTGCAGAGTTGAGTCCATGTCTCCCAAAGCTCGTTTCCAGTCAATTAATTCCGTGTTAAAGTTGTCGACAGCAACGAGGCGAGACTTCAGAACTTGCTTGGACCCCGTGTAATCCTTTAACGCAGTCAAACAATCATTGTGATCGTTGATCCATTGCTGGTGAGCTTGCAATTGCTCTTGATACACGGTCAGGACATCTTGAAGCTGTTCCACATCAGCTTTGCTTTTCTAAAAAACACACACACACACACAAATTATTGGTCGAAGGATTACGGAAACCAGACAACTCATTCTTTCCAACTTATGAGACATGGTTCTAGAGCGTATCATCTTTTGCTTCACGCAAATGGGATCCTTCATGCAGGAGACCTGAGCATCGATGTATTTTTCGAGAGGAATACTTGATAATTTTCTTGAATATTTTCCAATTCTTGCTTACCCAACTTGAAAAAGATTGAAGATAGAGAGGCGATTAGAGGAGTGATGAATAGGTATGCCCTCTATAAGGACTTGGGAGAGGTAACCAATTCCCGTATATCCAACAGCAATGTGTTCACATACAGTAAACTTATTCGTGTTTGAGATGCAAAATATAGCATGCAGATTGTATTGAAGTGTCAACTGGTGAGTAAGAGGTTATCCATCTCTGGGTTCTTCTTCTTTAAATTCATAATAAAATATACAGAAGCTTGACTTAGGTCTTCGGATTGATCAAAAAGCTGTGTCGGTTATCCTGATTCAGAAATTCGGGTACGCAAGTAACTCCATTTCACGATACTGATGACGAAACTCTTGAACGATCCCACATATTTTGGAGGTTTCGTGGGTTTCTAAATACAGTACCTTGATGGTTTCTGTCAAATTATCGTAACGGGTTCCGAGATCCCGGATTGTCTCTGCGATCTCAGCACTCGGTGTAGTTTTCTCAGCCTTGTTTTTCATGTTCTCTATGAGTCTCCAATGGGAAGCAACTTCCTGCTGAACAGTTTTTATCTTGACCAAGCGAGATCGTAATTCAGCAGGCGTAACCGCATTGCACACGTCTTGAGCTACGGTTTTCTCCATACTTTCCATCCAGGCTCTGGTTTGCTGCAAGCTGTCTTGAAGATTCGTTCTTTGCTGAGCTTCTACTTCTCGTTTCTTTTGCAGTTCACCGAGTCGAACTTCGACTTCGTCCCATCGATCGCGCAAATCGCGCAGCTCAGTGCGGATTTTGTCTCTTCCCGCAGCAGCCGTATGCGGATAAAGACGTTCTCCTAAATTTGAGCAAGGAATATAAAAGAAAATAAGATTCATTTACCCAACATGCAAGTCACAGCAATTGGAAATAATTTTTCGAACACATAATACCGAGAGATACATAATATTTTCGATGGAATGGATCAAAATCAAAACTCCCGTCCTTGGAACAAAACAAAAAA